TTGGAACACTCACTCACTAGGCACAGGACATGCAGGGAGAGGCTACAGGCACCCCCCCTCCCTAGCCAGAGAAGTTGTTGGGGTTTCTGTGTGAAGATCTCCTGTCTGCTGCAGGTCCAGGGAGGGCAACCACTCAGTCTGTAATAGTGGCGGGATCCTGGGTCACCTGCTCTACCCTCAGCAAGTAGTGGGAAATACCTGGCTCTCTCCGTGAGTTTCAGCTGGCAACAATGGCGGTGTTAGTAAAGCACGGACTTGAACCTCGGGACCAGCAGGTCTTGGAGCACTCACTCACCAGGCACAGGGCACTCAGGGAGGGGCTACACACACCACTCCCCCAGCCAGAGAAGTCCCTGGGGCTTCTGAGTGAGGACCTTCTGTCTCCCACAGCTGCCCGGAGAGCAGAGACTCAGTATGTAATCTGTATTACAATTTTTAAAGTTAAAAATATAAATTAAATGCAGCATCATGCTCCAAGTTGCCTGTGCATGGCTGTGTGGAGTTAGGGGCTTGGAAGCTAGAGAAATAGTAACAGATTACTTAAGAGTTATAAAAATAGGATTGTAGGCTTCCTAGCTGAGAAGGCACAAAGCAGCTACTCAATATACATTTATGGAGGGAAGAGAAATGGGAACCAGCCACAGTAGCCTCCTCTCAGTCATGACAACTAGAAGATATGGTCATGGTGGGTGGCTGTAAGTCATTAACAGACACTTGGGGACTGAGAAACAATGGCTGGGTGGCAAAGGCAAAGGTTGGAGGCTATCTGCCTGTGCTTCCTCACTGTTAACCAGTAAGGTAACTGGCTGCCAACTCATTTTGACCTCTGGGTTATTAAGTTGCTACTGCTCCACAGCTTCAAGTCCCATCAGACGGTAGCTCCATCTCAGCTTTGAGGAAGCTGTTTTCCTTCTCACCTTGAAATCAGCCCATGTGCCATATTCTGGTCAGCTGCTTGACTGCAGGGCTATGTAAATCACTTTTCCTAATGATCTCAGTCAGCAGGCTGGACAGTATCGTACTGAGCTGCAGACCTGAATATTAAGAGAGAACTGACCCCAACCCCACCCTTTAGAAACACAAATAAGAGCACTGTGGATGACCTGCCTGCCTGGAGCCACTTTCAGCTAGTTTGTCAGTGACGGAGAGAGGCTTTCCCGTAGGATCCTCACCCTGCCCCACCTCACCACCAAACTACTCCGGATCTGTCTATTTTACCAGCTTGACACAGCTGGCTTCACCCAATTCTTCCCATGAGCACCATTCCAGTTGTGATCACCACTGCCTGTGTTGGCCACTGCTCCACTCCTAGCTTCTAATCCATTCTCCACACAGCAACCTCTCAAGGTACAGATGGGATCTTGCCTTCCTTTTGCTTACAAATCTCCCACAATTTCCCACTGGTCTGAAAATAAAATCGCTGGCTTTTGCAACCTGATATGGCTTTACTTCTGCCTCTTCCTCACTTACTATAATCCAATCATCTGGGGCTCAAAGTCCAATGTCATTCCCATGTGGAAGTCTTTGCATTTCCTTCTTACCCTGGTAAGGGATCATCCAGGGACCTCTTTCTGCTCCCAATTTCTGTATCTTAGCTCTTTCTTGTCCTTTGATGTCAGCTCTTCAATGAGGACTGTTATACTCCCTCCCAGCTGTGGGGATTGAACCCAGGATCTTTGCATTGGGTTACAACCCCAGCCCTTTTCTATTTTTTCTATTTTCAGATGGGGTCTCACTATGTCACTATATCGCCCAGACTAGACTTGAACTTGGCCTCCTCCTGTCTCAGCCTCCATGTGTAGTTTTCTTTAGTCACCAGTCAGCTCCAGTTTCTCCCTTATCATCCTGTGATATAGGCCACACAGTACTCACCACCATCTGAAATAATCTTGCTGTTTAATTATTCATTTGTTTCTTTCTTTCAGATTATAATATCCATGTGGTCAGGTACCTTTTCTGCCTTGTGTATCCCACATCCCCATGATCTAGAACAAAGCATTGGCAGTCCCTGCCCTGAATGTGCTTACTGAATGAATGAGTCTTCCAGGTGCCTCCCTGCTGCCATGACAGAAGCTGCGCTGTGAAAACCCCACTGCTGTGACTGCGAAATGCACATCATTTCATCATCAACTGCTCTCTCTTGCCTGATTGCCATGAGATAAGGCAATTCCTTCAATTTGGAGCATGGGCTTCTTTGATCAAAGTTACGGAACTCTCCTTATGCTTTAGGAGTACCCTGCACTGGGCGGTCCACTATATCATGGGTCAGCAAGAGGTAATGGGTTGTAAAGAGCTTGCTTCTCTCAATTCCTGTCAAGAATCCAAACGGGGGGTGGGGAAGGGTGTTCCATTATACATTTTTTATTTACTTTTCATGTGGTACATACATTTTATTGCTGTTATACTTGTGTTCTGGGTTTTCTTCTAGGGATAATTTCAGGTATATCCAGAGGGGGTTCAAGTTTCGAAAAATCAATTTCAGATCCTTTCAAGCCCATGACCCCATGCACCATCAGCTCTCTCTGGAGTTTCTACTTGTCTTCTCTCGCTCAGACAGCTAACACTAGATCAGGGCCAGGTTCAGGCTTAAGCTCATTACAGGATTCATTTCAGTAATGAGGAGCTCCACAAACTTTCTGTTGTAAAACTCAGAGTTTGTGGGCTGGGGATGTAGCCCAGTGGCACAGTGGCTGCCTGGCAAGCATGAGGTCCTGAGTTTGATTCCCAGTACCAAAAAAAAAACCTCAGGGTTGAGTGTTCTGCCATGTGAATTTTTAAACAGGAGAAAGCATATTGCCTTTTCACCTCCAATGAAATTATGCCCCTGGAGAACACCTAACTTATGTCCCCTGCACACATACGATATAGCTTGTGTTGTTGCCCTTAGTAAGAATTGACATGGCCATTTTATTCATTAAGAGATCATGAAATGAGTAGACATATATGATACTATGGGAAAGCTCCCTGTAAACTTTAATGGCAATACAAATGTAGGCTCTTTTCAAACTGATTATGAACATAAAATATGGGTTTAAAGACTTGATCACTTATTTCAAAACTGATTACTGAGTTTATTATTCAGAGACATTTCCTCATGGATTAAATTTGGCTCTACATTTACCTAGAATCATTAGAAGAGAAAATAAGGTATAGAAAATAAACTTCCCATCAATATTTAGGTATTTAGTGGTATGTAAATAAATTTAAAGATTAAGGGCCAAGATACCTATAGCAAAGATAATCTTTTCCAACTGTAATCAACTAATCTGTACATTTATTGGGTCCCATCAAAGATTAATTTGTTAGCAACAAGGTGTACTAGTGTGACACATCTTTATCTTTAAGACATTTAAGCCTTCCAAAGCCAATTAATCTTCAGGAATCCAGAGAAATATATAATAGGTTACTACTAGCAACCGGTGCTACATGAATACAGTGTCACAATTTATTTGTTTTTAAACAGAAAGTCTCCTAAAGAGAAAATGAAAGCTGGGTGTGGTGGTACACACCTATAATCCCAGCACTTGGGAGGCCACATACAACCTACTTTATAATAATTAGGTAGCAATAAGTGCCTCTCTCACCTTATCCAATTAAATAGCCTATCAAATATCTCAATGTTTTTGTTTATATCAGAGAAAAATATAAATTCCCATATGACATTTCAAAACTATTTTGATTGAAATAGGGAGGTAGCATTGTCCCACGTAAAGAGCATGAGTACCCACACACAGTGAGAGATGCCATCAGAGCCTCCACTGAATGTTGCTAAAGTCTCTCACTTATAAAATGAATTCACCACAACTCGAAAGGACACTGAGTGACAGCAGGAAGATTACATACATCAGAGAAGTCATTCACTTTCAAAAGAAGGATTTGGGTCTTTAAATTAAAAGCCCTTATATTAAATGCTTCTTCTGAGACACTCAGGTACCACGACCCCCTACCTCTACCTCCCCATAAACGCTAATAACCTAAGTGCCTCCCAGGAGAATCCTAGTGTAACAGTGCCAGACAATATAGGGCACTCTCCCAACACTGCATGGTTTTACTGGGTACTCTCAAGGATTTAGTTCTGATAACACAAATAAACTAGAGTACTTACACTATTAAAAATTATTTACTGGTTCTGATTTGAAAATTTTTCCCCTAGTGTATGAGTCAGTATAAAATAACTTTAATGAGTTTTGTTTGAGCTTTTAAATTCAAGTATTGGTATCTTCCATCAATATTCATTCCATATTCTAAAGTAGTCTACAAATATTAAAGAATCATCTCAAAGGATTACAAAATTCTTTCCCATGTGTTATGGGTTACATCTAGATGCCTTCCAAAGCCTCACATAGTCATAAATGGGGATTTTTCAGAGGTGGCTGGATCTACAGTGTGTGATACTGAATTGATTCATGGTGATAGAAAGAATTGTGATTGTCTCGTTTGTTTTGCTGTCTTCTGCCCACCATGAACTGTTTCTCCTCTGTGATGCCTATCTGCCACACCACCCTGCCTTGAAACCAGTCAATTATGGACTGAAACCTCTACAAACCTCTACAAACTATAAGCTAAATAAACCTTTACAAACCTGAAACCTCTACAAACCTCTACAAACTATAAGCTAAATAAACCTTTCCTCCTTTGGTTTTGGGTGTCAGGTATTTTGTCTCAGCCACAAGAAAAGTAAGACACTATGGAAGGCAAGTTAAATGTAACATAAATAAACATATAGCTAAAGAACATGATTCAGTGTTCTAGTGCAAATGTATAGTGTTATATATAAAAAAATGATATTGTGTGATATATATATATACACACGAGTGTATACATAGGTATATAGCGTTGGCGTAATACATAAAAATATATACACAATAATCTAATAACAAAAATTAAAAGGTAATAAGGCTTCTAAAACTGCATTTAATATTGCTGTAGTGTTTTCCCAAAACATGCAAAACTGTATAACTGATTTAGCCAAGGATGCTTTTTTTTTTAGCCAGTTATACCTTTTGTGCTCTGTTTGCTGGGTTTTGGCATTTTCTCCCTTATGCAGCTGTTGTGCAGGTTCCGGTAATTTATCCTAGGAACAGTAAAAGTTTTAAACTATGGTTTTCAATTAACACAGTTGTACAAGAGACACCCTAGTCAATTACATATTTAACCTTAGCTGGTGTAATATTTCACTTTTGAAACTTTTACTTACGTATCCTTTGGATGTGAAATTATTTTTCTATATAAATAGGTAGCAAAGATAATTGTAGCTTAGTCAAACAGAATGGCTCCATGAGTGTAAAAGTGTTAGATTAAAAAGCCAATGTGCATGGTACAAGATACATAGAGGAAAATATAATGTGACTCAAACTCACAAATACAAAGACAAACAAATCAAATTAGTTCCTTTAAGAGTATCATAAAATATTATTTCTTAGTATTTTTCTAGCACTTTTTTCCCATTAAATTCATAGCAACTTACAAATGCATACTGAACTCAATTCTTCAATGCAATTTTGTTAGGCTTCCTGGAGACTAAGCATTTATCCATTATTTATTAGTTACATCCCAAACCAGCAGAACTTTGGGCTCTCTCAAGGAGATATTTTGATTCAAATAGGTTACATTACTATAACTATCTAGACTCCAACATCCTAAATGTCTGCTGAGAAAAGGCAACCTCCATCAGAGTCAGTGACTACATTTACAGTCTTATACCAAAGGATTAGGTGTCAGGATTTCTCTAATACCCAGTTGTTTACCTTGAGGCAGATTGACTCCCATTTTAAATACAAGAAAAAGCAGAGAAAAGTATCAGACCCAAATCATAAATTAGTGTTGAGACAGAGAGATTTGCTGGTAGTAATAAGAAAAAAAAAAAAACAAAAAAAAAAAACAGTGTCACATCGTGACAAACATATAGCAGTGAACAGTGGTGGTGGCTCTCCCACCCTGAAACTTCCTGGTGAAAAGTATGAAATACTCAACATGCAGACTGACTTTTTCTCATTTCTTCAAAGGCTTGCCAATGTTCCACAGCTCGTAAAATACAAGACTTATTTCTTACACTGTGATATTCCAAATAATTTGATTATTCATCAGTCTCTAAAGCACATTATTTAATCTTAATTTCTATATAGCAGCAACAATAGAAAATTAGACACTGTTCAAAATAATTGAGTAATATTCACCCATTCAACAAGTACGTATTAAGAACCAAATACCAACCCTTGTGCCAGCATCTCCCTTTTCCATAACAGCATAGTCTTGGTTTTAATTTTTTTTCACTTTGATTTATGTTTATAGCCTTAAATGTCTAACAGTTTCAGTATTTTTCATTAGTACTACCAGACCTTTTACTAAAATAACACGAACTTCTGTTCTCTTCCTTGCCTGTACAATTACTTTGAACTTCTGTGTAGTCTTATCAAAATTATACCCTTCTTCATAGCACATATACATTTATTAACTGTAATAGCCTTATTTTTTTTCATTCTAAGGAAAAAGTTTATTACTATCTCCACTTCCATCCAAACTTCCCCTCTTAGCATACCCAGTGGTCATTCTGAAAACTTTCTTTAAAATAAATACTCAGTGTTGCGGGGAGCCAAGGAGGATCTCGGTGTAGCTCCTCCTTTAGCCTATCTACCTCCACTTCCTGCTTTCACCTCTAGCTGCAGAGCTGCCAGGCACCTCCAGTTCCTGAAATTTAATAATTTGTGTCTTATTGTTTCTTGCAAGTAGGTTCTGGCTTTTCCTGTTGTGCTATCAGTTACCACTGACTACATTCCAACTTCAAACATTTTGCTGATATCCCCACTTTTCTTGTTACAATCTCCTCATCTATATTTTGTCCATAAGTTTATGCCTTAAAAAAAACCTGTATTTTTTTTTCAGGAAATAGGGAAAGAGGGACTGGAGATGAACAAATGAAATATTTTTAAAGTGCAATGTTTAACCAGGAGACCCTAATATCGTCAATTAAAAATTTTACTGAAATTCTGTTACTTCATACTCAAAATAATTCTCAAAGGTAGGCAGGTAAGCAAAGTGTTATCTGCTGATGACAGAGCAATATTATGCTTGTTTTACAGGTGAGGAAACAGGATCATAGATACAGTTTAAGTAGCTTGCCTAGAGTCAAATAGGCTATTAACAGCAAAATAAAGATTGGGAATTAAACTTTTTGTATCTAATCATCTTCTGCAGGATGCATCCAAAATGCTCCCTGAACAACCACACCCAGAACTATAGCATGGGAGAACATATCTAACATTAGACTCACACTCAAAAGTATTAGCAGAATATATGTAATCTAAGTTCAAATGCCAAGGGATTCTAATTTTTTTCATATTCATTAACTCATTTCTCCAAGAACAACACAGATAAGATCTTAGCTGTATTTATATTCTGGAGAAAAGAAACCCATACATAAGTGACAAAGTACCTACTCATAATCCTATACAGAGGATTAAAACACACTGACTTGAGACTTGGGGGCTTGGTAATTATTTTAGATTGAAGTCTGTGGAAGTAGCTAAAGATCTCACATATCCAAGGAGGAAAAGAGATTAACCAAGAAGAAAAAGAGCCAAAAGACAGGATATGCAGCCTCCAGATAAACTATAGATTATCTATAAATATTACCTATAAATTTTTACTCAAAGGAATATAAATCACAACAATAAGATAAAATTTTTCTATTATATTGACAAAAACCAGAAAAATTTGACAAAGAACCAGGTATGCACACTTTGGAAGAATCAGAGGACAGTTTAGCAATAACGGTTATGATATAAAATGTACATCTTTGCAGAAGTATTCAAAAGTGCATTTATTCATATGTGGAGATTTACACTTGTATAATTGAAACTATAAAAGTTCAGGAGAAAAATCTTAATGCCCACCCTATAAGGAACACTAAGCCCAGCCATCCACACAAGGGAACATTGCAAAACAGTTGCAAAGAATAAGGTAACTCTGCTGGGGGAGAGAGGGGCAGGGAGGGTCTGTGGAAATGTATTAAAGGAGAAAAGATTAATCCAAAGCACCTATTGGGGGCCATCCATATAAGTGAAAAAGACTGTGTATCATTGTCAGCTCTTACATGCTGATACATATGATATTTACAACACTTTGAAAAACACACAAGCAAATATTAACTGTTTTAAAATTAAAATTAACACTGGGTAGGGGAACTTGAAGGGTGTGGATGGACAAGAAGAAAGCTTTATATTAACAGAGATTTATTATTCATGTGGGAGAACAGTTGTGTTCCTTTTGCTTTTCTTTATTTAGAAATTCCAAAAAGGACATAGTTTTTAAGCCGTACATTGTGGCACATGCCTATAATTCCAGTACTCTGGGAGGCTGAGACAGGAGGATTGCGAGTTCAAGAACAATCTGTGCAACTTAGTGACTTAGCAAGACCCTGTCACAAAATAAATAATAAAGTAAGCTGAGCTGTAGCTCAGTGCAAACATCCTGGTTCATTTCTCAGTATGCAGCACAGTTTACTCAGTACACAACACAACATAGTTTTTAAAATTTAGAGGTGTGAAAGAGGAAGACACTGTGATGAAGCTGAGAACTGCTTATAAAGGAAGAGAAAGGCAGGCAGCAGAGGACACACCCCATCCTATTTCAGAGGCAAGGCAGGGGCGGAGCAGGGAAATGAAGAGCTGGCGGGAAACTGGGATGGGAGCTGATGAGGCATCGCCATGCAGGAGCACTGTTCCAGATGGCAGAAGGGAAGGTGCTGGCTCCACTGTGCTCGGGATTATTATCCTGCAACTAGCAAAGCGCATTTACTAGGGAAAGGCTGATTTTTCTTTGGTACCTAAAAAAGATATTAACACTAATTAATTTGTTCTGCTGAATCAACAGCCCCTGAGGATGTATCTGCACACCTTATAAACATATTCTTGATTCATTTACTGGGTTCTTACATGGATGTGTAGTATCTAGTTGTGTACATACAAAATAAGTGGTTCTCGTTCCAAGGACTGAGCCCTGTCCCACACGATACATAAGCATTAAGCACCAATCACTTTCCAGACACTCGGATCTGCACTGAAGGTTCAGATCTGCCAGCTCCTTTCTGAAGGGAGTCACAGCGTAACGAAGGAGACAGACCCAGAAACAATCCTGGTGCAAAGCAAAAATATGCAAAATACAAGTTTAGGCAATGAAATAGGAATATAAAGGGAGAGACGTAACAAGAGAAACAGGTGTTCAACACTTTAAGTCTATCCACAAAAGCTCTCCAGAGAAGGAGCTCATCTTACCAGTAGGCCACACGACTCAGGACATCCAGACAGGGTTCCCAACGAAGACGGCATGTAAGAGAGATAATGAACCAAACACCATCCTGAAGATTCTAATAACAGGACTTTCTGTGAACACTGGGCAGGAAGCTCATGGTGAATGAGGAAGCTGCAGCCCACAGTGCCACTGCCTGGCACACAGGGAGGACCGCGCTGCTGGGGAGGTACAGGATAGCACCAAGCATTGGTGCTCAGAGTTCATGTTAATAGCAGGAAGTAGATCAGGGTTGTGAAGGTCAGTTCTTTGGTCTGCACTTCCTTGGTAGTGCCCTATTCTGCTGAAGGGTGTACGAGGCTGATGGTTTGAGAACCGTGATGAGGCTGGAGCAAAAGTCATGTTCCAAAGCCACACTTCAGTTTAGCAACGGCCAGTGAAGATTAGGCCCTTTCAAAATCATGTCTGAATCCCTCTGGGGCATGTGCTGACATGGTTCGTTCTGGCTGCTTCATGTAAACACTAAAGTGCCATCGCCTGGCAGACAGATTTCTCCCAGAGGATGCTCTCTCAACACAAGAGGAAACAAACAGAAGAAGCGGGAGGGCTGAGGTCAGGGAAGGTTAAGAACTGCCTTTGAGCCTGGCGTAGTGATGCATGCTTGTACTCCCAGCATTCTGGGAGGCTAAGGCAGGAAGATTCCAAGTTTGACCCCAGCACTGACAACTCAGTGAGACCCTGTCTCAAAATACACAATAAAAAAGGTTGGGAATGCAGCTAATCAAAAAGACCCTGAGTTCAATTCCCAGCACCACAAAAAGGAAAACA